GTAGGCTAGTATTATTATCCCCATATTGTAGATGGTGGTGCAGGTCACTGAGGCTGGCAGGTAGTGGTTTGCCATTAACCATTAACTATGGCTAGACAGAGGGATATTAAATTTTGAACTTTTAAAAAATTGATAATGGCAGGTAAACCATACAGCTGAATAGTTACTGTATGGTCCAAAAGTCTAATAAGGAAGCCAGTCTAGAATTACAGTGTGCTTTGAAATGGTCTTGATGTATTATTAGTATGAGAGGAGGCAAAAGGAAGAGTTTTGGTATCTAATGTCACCAGGGATAGCTTTCTCAGACTATAATGCAAGTCTAGGTTGAGCAAAAGAAGACAAATGAATAATATGACAAGCAAATAATACAGAACTCCCCTCACCGCTGGCTATTTAATATATTTTAGCTCAGTTTGCTGATATATATATATATATATATATATATGGAATCAGGACTCAAAATATACCCATGCCTTGTCAGATATGATCACAGATCCTTTATACCAAGACCAACTATGCTGCTGGAAAAACTCAACATACTTTTTTTCTGGTTGCCTCTATTTCCCAATGCACACTATTGTGCAATGTATCATCTTAAAAGAGGGGTGAACAACTTTTTGACCACAAGGATCACATTGCTTTCTGCTGGACGGCAGTCACATACTACACACGTACACACATGCACACACTTATGCATATCCAGCCTTGCCCAAGAGAGTTTCAAAGGCCCGATACCTGCTTTGATGAGATAAAACTAACAGTCCTCCAGAAACCTTCAGTTTTCAAACCATCCAGGAATCCTGGCTCCAGTTTTTCAAATTCAGTCTTTTGCCAATGTGTCCTGACATCCCACACTTAGTTACCTAGAATGTTTTCATGGGAAAAATAGGGCAAGTGGTTGTCTGGGAAAGACACTTTAGTCCCTTCCATAGAAACCTTACTCCTAGAATCCCCTCCCCGCAAACAGGTAAGAACGTTTAAGAATTTTGTCCTAAGACAATCCAGTAATGCACTAGACACCAGGCTCCTATTGTGTACCATACAGCCTGTTTCTGGAGCTCGCTCGCTCGCTCTCTCTCTCTCTCTCTCTCTCTCTCTCTCTCTCTCTCTCACACACACACACACACACACACACACACACACCCCTCCACAACAAACAAAATTTGGGGAGCTGTCTGCAAACCACACTTTTTGGACCCATACTAAAATGTCTGCCTGCAGGGCCTAAACTGCCTATCTGAAATCTAGCCTGCAATATGAAAATGAACATTCTGTATTATGACAATCAGCTAAAGAATTGTAATTGATTACTTACCTGACTTTTAACCAATTAAGGGATTGAGTAATTATATTTAAATAAATTTGAGTACTACATACTTTTGCTTACGCATTCAAACTGTAAAGTAACCTAAATTAATAAGCAGTAAGCTAATAAATAAATAGCTATTTATTGTCTTATTCTCACTATACTGTGCAAGAAATAAGCTTATGAAAACAACTATTTCCATGCTCTTTTTTGTATTTTTATTCCACTTTTTAGGGTAGGCCCTCATTAGGCAGCTGACTGCATGTGTGTCTGTGTATCAAATAATAAACAAAATAAAAGCATTACCTAAAATCATATGGAGACAGCAATAAATAAAAAACTTGGCAGAATAAAAATGTATTTGGTTGCAGTTAAAAATGTAAGTTGGAGGCCAGATCAAGCTCTTTGGGATTAAAAAGGCTGTGTTCCTGTGTATCTTCCAACCTGATCAGGCTTAGTAGCAGCCAGAAAGCAGGATGTTTGAAGCTGATCTTAAGGACCAGGACAATTCCTAAATGTGCAGCTGGCTCTTCAGTTAACCTGATCTCAAAACATTCAGGGCTTTAGCAATGGTTAACCAGTACAACTGCTGCAAAATTGGTGTACTGTGATCAAAATTGTTCATTCTAGTGGTTGAACTTTGCATCTGTGGATGTTTCCAAACTCATGTTTAAAGACAACCCTATGTAGAAAGCATTATATTAGCCTGGCCTGCAAATGTTGAGGCCAGGCCTGCTTTCTCCTGATAGAGTCTAAGCCAGCACGCCTGGTACTGAGGTCACCTGTGGGTTTCATAGATAGCATTGTGCCCAAGAGTGCCACCAAGCAGTACTCCATCCAATCAGCAGTCTTGCAACTAACAAAGTAAAATAGCCTATATGTCATAACAGAGTGTTCAACTGGAACTTAAGAGAACTGAGTTCTCTTCCCCAAATGGCAATGAAACTCACTATGTTACTTTGGGCCAGTCATGGTGTCTCAGTGTGACCTATCCCACAAGGCTGTTTTTAAGAGGAAAAGATGGCGAGCAAGATAACCTGGCAAGGTACCTTGAGTTCTTTGCAAGGGGAAGAAAGGCAGGATAGAAATGTAATGTAAAGCAGTAATAACAATAATGCTTCTATCTTGATCCTTTTTGCTCTCATGTGTGCCAGAAGGGCTTCCTGACACTTCCTGAAGTTTTCCACTGCCTCCCTGGGATTACTAGATGGAGGCAAAAGAGAGAGTGGTGTCTGTAATAGTTGGTGTCTATAATAGTTGGAAACAGCTCAGGTGGAAATACCTACAGATTGATTTACTTAAACTATTTATTTTCTATCAAAATTATGCTGAATGTAGATAATAATAAATCCAGATTAAATATAAAGTCTTAAAACATAAAATAAAAACAAATACATTAAAAACACAGTTAAAAAAAGAACAACAGGCATTGTCAACTGCTTTAGCAACAGAACAGCTTATATTCAACTCCACATTTTCAGGCAGCTACTTATTCTGAAGAATGCCCCTCCATTTCATTGTTTTTAACAGTAAAAAAGCTAACATTGCTCCAAACCCAACTACCATCTCACTGGGGGAAAGATGGCTGCTCCCTTAGGCTGCTCATTGCAGTAGCATCCCTGCCCCAAGGAATGCCCATGTGAACAATACTGCTTCATCATGTAGCATCATTCTCAGTGGTATTCCAGCCACATTTGGAAGCAGAACAATAACAGGTTGCCATCTGGATGCAGCAGCTGAGCATTTTTAAAAACCAAAACAGAACATGTCCTTGGCTATGTTATCAAGTTGTAATTAAATGACACACAGCCAAAGTCTTTTGATGCCCCTCTCACCCACAATTTATGCAGCCTTTGTGAGGGCTTTGCCTTCTTCCTCTAAAAGTTTTAAAAGAATCTGGGCCAAATATTTCATCCCAGCACTGGTTTAATATAGCTGCTAACAAGCATGGAAGGCATGATCGATTGTGGACCCCCACCCCAAAGTCCAAGAGCCATGTAGTGAAACAGTAGTCACTGAGTATGATCTTTTGCTGATGTTTTGCTTCTAAGTCCCACTCTAACAAGGAGTTTAGTTTCCACATCTCTCAGACACACCAGTTTTTTCTGTACCAGTAAAATACCCTCCCTATTTAATCATCTAAAGCATTAGCTGATCAGGAGAACACCACATTTCTTAATATTAAAGTTAAATTGAACAGCAGTGTAAAAGATAGGTAGCATCCAATGGGGCACAACTGTAAACTAATGTAAACTATTGCAGTGTAGTGGCAAAAACATTAGTTGATATACCAATTTTCCCCAGGAAATTAGTGCACAGCATAATTTGCATTATTATTATTATTCAAGCCCTTTAGATACTGAATGATGTTAGCTCAACTTATATGATACTGCAGATGTGTAGAGACTCTGCAAAGTTAGGTAATTCTTCCTTAGCACCCAATACTCATAAGCTGACAAGTAAAATGCATTTTATGTTCATAGTTGATAAGTCTTTTCCTGCCTTCCATTTTTTGTGGGGTGATGATTTCATAAGCTTGTGTGCATTGGACTGTATTTTCACAGTTCCTAATCCAGAAGTGGGCAGAAGCAAACAGAAGTGCAGTGATAAATTACTGGTAACTTTCCATTGGGCCAGAAGGTACCCCGAGGATTGCTAGGATTCTTGCAAAAAAGAAGGCTGATCTAGTTTAACAGCTTTGTTCTGCTGCAGCAAGACACTTGCTGTGTTAGTGAAAAAGAGTGCAAACCAAAACTACTTATAACATATTGGTAGATCATGGTGTTTCTAGCTTGATTTTCTTTTAAGGCCTCAGAAGACAGTCCATTCCTGCCCTGATACATCATTATATCCAATACATAGACAACAGATGGCCCTAAGGATGAGAAAGGATAATCTGGTAGGTGGGGCAGATAAACGCAATCTTTGGGGAAGGTGTTGTCCCCTCCTCCCAAAACCCCAAAAAGAAAATAGACTAGGCCAAATATTTTGTCTTGGAGTTGTTTCTGAATTTAGCAAGAGAGCTCTTACATGCATTAAATAGCTAATATATAGTTCAGGACTCAATTCATATTGAGTATATTTACCAAAAAATGGATTCCATTGAATTAAATGGGACTTATTTTTGTGTCAACATGTTTATGATCAGTCTATAAAATTTAAGTGATAAACATATCTTCCTATACAAAAAATCTTCTTCAACTTTGCAATGTACATAGCTGTTATGAAATCATGGATTTCTGAACATATCAAAAAACCAGTCCCCAAAGGATTCATACTTATGGAAATATAGTATCCTGTATTAGGAAATATGGAAAGCAAGCCCATACTTTCTGTACTTTTGTAGAGCTCAAGATAAACTTGATGGAATTCAAGACTATTCTGAAAAATCGTATTCTGCATTCTAATAAGTTCATACTTCCATTGCCTCATTTGAAAACTTAACACTTGGGCTCCATTTAGGATTTGTTATTTATATGTAACTAGAGTTGTAAAATGCTTGTTTTTAAAGTTTCCACCTTAAATGGCCGGATCTATTAAAAATGTGCATATGAAGGAATCTAGTATTGGGAACAAAATGAACCCCCTGCTATGTCTCAGTGCTGGAACCACCTAAACAGAAAACCTTCTAAGACCCTTACTGTGCCACCATTTCTTTTTTAACAATGTTTTCTTTTCCCCGCTGCACAACCAGGCTCGACTCCCTTCGTGCTCATCAACCTATAGTGTTTCTGAGGTATATTTTGCACGTGTTCTGTCACAGTCAAACTTCTCACTCATCACTCTTTGATTTTCTTTGATTTGATTTGGTCTTGCACCTTTCAGAAATGAGGAAAAACCAATTTGTGGGATTGCCTCTGCATGCTCACCTTGCAACCATGTCACAGTATGATTTAATACTGCCATAGCAGTTTGAAACCACCCTGGTGTGAATACCAACCAAGTACTTATTCTTCAGCACCACAGCTTGAGTAGAAAACTCTCTCAATAATCTGCTTATTATCAAGAGCCAGAGAGAGAGGCTGGGGCTCAGGAGATTCAAGTTCTAGTCCCCACTTGGCCATGAAGCTCACTGGGTGACTTTGGACTAGACACTAATTCTCAATGTTGTAAGAATAAAATAGAGAGGAGGAGAAGGATTATGTAAGCTACTTCGGATTCCTTTCAGGAAGAAGCAGTATAGAAATATAATTGATTGATTAATATTTATAATGAGACTAATGAATACGCAGATACACAAAATGTAGTACAGGCTTTAAAAGCTCTTTTACCCTGAAACTCATTAATACTCAAATTCTGGTGGCAAAAAGGACACTAAGAAATGAACAGTACTAGTGTAACTATAATGTAACTATTCTTCCACCCCTAGACCTTAAGGGGTGCTGGCAGAACCACTGTTGAAACCAAATAATACTGTTCCTTTTTTATTACAAAAAGAACCATTTCCAAATATTGGAACAAGTTTCTCTTCAACTGGAAATCTCCAGTTCAGTTTGCCTAAAAACCTCTGTGAAAATACTATTACCTGTCTGTCCATTTGAGAAAGGACTAAAAGATGCCTTAGATATAAAATCTGTTGAGTGCAGATTTGTCCATTTCTCATGTATCCTTTGCTACTCAAACTGCAACAGGATGTAGGTGTTAGTACCCCCCCCCCCCCAGCATCCTACATAGATGCATGGACTTCTGCATGCAGCTTTGTAAACATAGAGGAAATCCCCTTAGGAAGTTTTCTCATCCCTCCCCTCCCAACCCCAGCCAGATTGCTAGGCACACTTCAATGTGTGATTACTTCCAAATAAATGTTTCAATTATCCACCAACCTGCTTTATATTACCATTCACTTATCTATGTTATTTGTGAAAGTAAGTTGCATACTGGTGGTTTGGAGAGGAACCAGCTACTGGCTAAATATGTAACATAGTGATAATGTGAGGTCTTGCATTATCAGGAATTGAAGGTGTGTTGCAAGGCAGCCAACATAATGGCAGCATGCCGAACTAAAGTCCAGCATGAAAGACAGTAAGCCTCAATTTAAAATCAGTAGTAATTCTCATGCAGCTAGCAGAGCTGCATACATACAAAAAGCAGGGGATTGTCCCAACTTAACTCACATGATTACAAATACTGCTAGCTAAGCATCTAGCAATATGACTTGCTAGATTCTCTTTTTTTCCCTAGATGACAAGGGGAAGTAGAGCTTGCAATTTGGGACATAGTCAAGATGGTGGCAAAAGTTGCCTCTCCACTTCAGGCAATGCTAATCCCAGTCTCTGTGGCAACAGAAACATTTTGTTCCCACCATAAGAAAGATGACACAATAGTAGCTTTTGCCCCTCCTGCTAAAGCTGTATCCAGTGCCTGGCAAATGATGCTAAGCTCTAAAAGCCTCTTAACTCAGTAAAAAAGGAGTGCAAAGTTGCCCAGGTCAAGGGTTCTAGAGGCATAGTGGCATCCCGTTGAATGTGCATAACAAACTGCGGCTGTATCATGCATGAGAATAGCACCAGCATGTCTGTCCTGTTGTAATGCTGACATTTGCAGTCAAGTTCCAGCACTGACATGAAAGAGCCAGTCACTGCAATCTTGGCAGTCTACTCAGTCATATAAACTACTGTTTATTTAGAGCTAAAAGTGACACATTTAGTTTGCCTGATACCTGATATTTTTAATCACAATATTGTATGATCAAGTAAGATAGCTAAAACAATTTTTACTAAGGTTTCCGGAACTTTAAAAGCTTATGGTGGCAAGCTTTCTTACCGGAAGAATACATGCAGTTGCTTCAGATTAAAATGTCAGACAAATGTGCTATTGTTTTCAAAATGTGGAATAGTCTTCTATGAGATGATGTGATAACTTGATCAGAGAAGATTTTGCTTTGTTTTTGCTGACCCAAACATTGCCAGGTTTGCTTTGTTTAGTTCCTTAATTAGGCCAGATGTTTCTTGTCAACTGTTGCCCTCTTAGCCACAGTGAACACCTATATAAGCCTATTTGATTATATAACTTGGTTGATTGGCAGTTACTAGGACTAATGGAGGGAACAAGCCTTGTTTCCCAATTCTATATTTTGGTCCATAAAGCACACTTGAGCTATTTCACTCAGGTGTTTCAATTTTCCTTTGATAAGCTTTTTGCTGGCCAGGTCCAAAAGTAACCACCAATAGCTGAACCTTTTTCGTGTCTGTATATGCAGATAGTACCTTTGGGACTCAATCCAGTTCCAGTGCCCATAATCCCTTAGCATCCTATGCTGGGCAGGAGGAATGTTGTAAGCCATCCAGAGGTGACAGTAATGGACAGTCTACATTTTTAAAATAAATAAATAAATAAAATGTGACAATTAAGGTTATTGCCATGCTCCTCCAGCCCTGCAAAGCACTCAGGTGACAAATTTGGGCTGTCTGAGTGTCATGCCTTGGAGTGTGAAGGAAGGAACTGAGAAACCATGAAGCTGCCTCATGTCATGAAACTGATCTCATCCCCCCCCACCCCCAGTCCCCCAGGAATACACAGCCAACCACTTCTCTGAGGTCTTTACTACCTTGGCTGCCTTGCAGCCAATGTGCTCCTTTCTATTCCAGTTGTGGGGGGTGGGGTAGAGGCCTCTCTGCATTTGGAGTGACTTTCCAAGGTTGGAGCTGAGACTGCAAATAATACTCTGTCCATCTAGAGTCTGCCTAGCAGCCATGGTGCTGATAGTTGATACCACTTTATGATACCAGATGCTGAAGAAACAAGTAGCAACTGGCTGACCATTATTCGAATCAGAATCAAATCAGTTGGTACTGATGCTCAGCTAAATTTTAAAGTATGTTTTATACATAGTCTGGTGTTAACATTTTGATGCACTAGCATATAAAAGGCCATAAATCACATCTGCATGAATGCTGGTAATACGAGTAACCCCTCCAACTTTGTTATGTTTTGAATATGTTTTAACTAAGCTTATTGGTTCTGTCTTTTGAAATGAACATTTGGAATATAAGCATTATGTGATTCATCTGAAAACTGAAACTCTTAGAAGGAAAGAGGCACATTTCAAAATTGCTGACCAAATAGGTTTTATACCTTGCTTGAACTGGAATAGAGCTCATTATTTTTGTTGATATATTATACAAATTTATCTATCCTAAAGGCGCAGTGTGACTGATTAAAACATAGCATGTTCTGTAAAGACATTTGGTGATGCATATTTCATTTCTTTGGGATTTTTTTTCTTTTTGCAAACACTGAGGGAACTGGAGATACTCTTACATTATCTGTTGCCCTCCTTTTCCATCTTTCTCCTGCAATACTAGATGCATCCTTCTTTAATCCTAATAGATAAACTTTGAGAGTCTTTGATTTATTTCTTCATATAAATGCATCACAAATCTTCAGTACTATTAAACCTTCTTGAAAGATGATTTCACCCTCATCTTTAAAAGGATGTTAATTTTAAAATGCAGGATACCGCAATGAACTATATTCTTAAGCAGTTTAATGTTCATTGTGGGTATTGAAATTTTTTCCACAGGTCTATACCAATACTTCCATAATTTATCAGTTCCATTTACAATCAGAAAAATGTGGCCTTTTGCCAAAATTACATGTATAATGTTCCTTTAAAGAGCTGTCAAGATGAAAAGGATTGGAAAACTCTGATACATGGGTTTCTAATAGTTTAACTTGAGAATTTCTGTTGCAGTGCACCTGAACAATATACACCCACTTTAAAAGAAATTAGCACTTGTATGCAGAAAGTGAAACAATGGCCAGCAGACTAGAAACATTCAATGTACATTCCAGTTCCCAAGAAAGGATGTGCAAACAGCTACAGCAACCATAGGACCATTGCACTAACCATTGCAAAGTGATGTTTAAGGTGCTAAAGAAATGTACGCTATACTGAGCAAGAAATGCCTGATATTCAAGCTGGATTCTAAAATGGAAACATGGAAACAGAGTGAGTCAGAAGGGGCCTCCCAGGCTCTAGCCAGCTCTGCTCATGATATGCCTACCATGTGCATGTCTAGCCTATCCTTGAACACCCTCACCAATGGGGCTTCAACCACCTCCCGCAGAAGCCCATTACATATCCTGGGGGTCCTAATTATCATATCCCAGATATACATTGGCTACTTATGCTTTGTATTCTAGAAAACATAAAGAATTTTTATGCTTTCTAGAATATAGAAAAATTTTTGACTGTGAAGATCACAAGAAGTTATGGATTGTCCTGAAAGAAATGGGTGCACCACAACATTTGATTGTCCTGATGTCTAACCTGTATTGTGGACAAGAACCTACTCTTGGGACAGAATACGGAGTAACAGAAGGTTTCCTGTAGGCAAAGGCATCAGACAGGTCTGTATTTTATCTCCCTATCTGTTCATTCTGTACAGAGAACATAGTATAAAGAAAGCTAGATTAGACTCAGAGACAGAAGGGACATTGGTCATTTAAGATGTTCCAAAAGCACCAATGAATTGAAATGAGTTCTGTTGAAAGTGAAAGAAGAAAGTGCAAAAGCAGGACTGCAACTGAGTATTACAAAAACCAAAATCATGACTACAGAAGAATTACAATGAAGGAGGTGCTTCCAGAGGAAGGCCTCAGATATTGATGCAAGCATCCAAGTGGATCCAGATCTGGAGAGGTTTTCCATTTCGCAGCAAGGCGCCATATCCACCTTGAATCATGCTCCAAAACATACAAAGAGTCAATGTAAACAGGCCAGAATCAGTGCTA